CCTATACACAGGACTCGAACCCACATTTTTGCAGACGGAGACAAAGAGTTGAACCACTCCAGCACAGGTGCCAGCCCTCTGAGGATCTCCAACAGCCACATCCACGCCCGGTCTTCCACCCACACAAGGCCCCGTTCTTCGTCACATTCCTCACAAACTCCACCAACACCCAGGAGATGTTGAACAACCGCCAAAAACAAGACGCGGAGAAAAAAAAACATGTCAAAGAAATCTCCCCCGAAATGTTTATGCAAGTACCACGGACTACATGTTCGAAGCAGCTGTACGACAAATTTATACATTCCAAGTGGAACACCCGTTTCCTGAGAATTCTAGTACCGGTATCTTTCTTTTACCTAAGTCAATTTTCTACACAAAATAGCAGCCATTTTTTATTTTAATTCATCATAATACTGTGAAATTCACTAAATAGGCTGCAACCCCACGTTTGACCAACCCCGCCCATGTTTGACAGACAATGAAAGTTCTCAGTTCACTAAACAGCTCCCCATTAACAAGAGACAATCACAATAACGTACATAATATAATACGGAGCTCAATCTTTTTCAAGACTGAGATCACTGCAGAGATAGGTATTTCATTGCCTAAAAAAAAGCCAAATCGTCATTATTTCGACAAAAACATCAACAGAGCCCTACCCTGGCTGGCAAAACAGCCCCCCCCCCCCCCCCCCCCCCTCTGGTATAAGCAGCACCGCTCTGTACTGTAGCACACTGGGGCTCCATGGCTTGGAGTAATGCAATGTCACAGCTTCACACAAGGACTGATGCAAGACAAGCCCAAACTGAAGTTTGCATTTCCACAGAAAATGAACTGAGCTTTCTACTGGGGCCTTATATAAGAGCCGGGACTGTACATATATATATTTCATGTAAAAAAATCATCCTTGAAAACTTTGATGCAATTTTTAAAAGCTTTCTGTTTGTAGCCCAAAGGCTAAAAATATACTACTGTTGGATATGCCATTCAAAGTCCTACGGCTCTCCTATATAATCACGGATCTTTCCGCGATGCATTCAAAGGCTTGGATGTCAATTTTTAAAACTGGATGACCTAATGTTCTGACAACTAGGGACTCCATTTTCCATGTATACAAACAAACAAACACACACCAGTGTAATGAGGAAAAGCTTAACCTTTTGACCAATGCCTATCCCCCGAGGTTGTATTCTTCACATTTTAGAATACTTCTAGTGCGAAGATCTCTGAAACTTTCAGTATTTCTCAAAAAATCATTTTGACAGACTGCTATGCAAAGCGTACGGATCGGATTAACGAGTAAATTTCCTCTTTGGAAAGTGGTGGCACAGAGTTCCTTCCCTTCAACAAGAGACTAGTGACCACAGATTATACCAGACGGGGCAAAAACATCTTAGGATGACCGACGCCTATCCCCTTTTGGCCAGGGAAGAGCCCAATAGAAGTTACAGATTTCACCAGTTTTCATTTGGGTCTGCCCGAACTTTGACGTACTTTGGCATAAATTACTTTGGTAACCAGATGCATTATAAGCTACAACAGTGCTGAAAACTGTGCTGTCTTCTTCACTTCACTTCATGAAACAGTGACAGAGAGAAAACTGTGCCGTCTTCTTGTCACGGGACATGACACAGAGAAAACTGTGCCGTCTTCTTGTCACGTGACAGTGACACACAGAAAACTGAGCTGTCTTCTTGTCACGTGACAGTGACACACAGAAAACTGTGCTGTCTTCTTGTCACGTGACAGTGACACTTGTAAAACTGTGCTGTCTTCTTGTCACGCGACAGTGACACAGAGAAAACGGAGCTGTCTTCTTGTCACGTGACAGTGACACAGAGAAAACTGTGCTGTCTTCTTGTCACGTGACAGTGACACAGAGAAAACTGTGCTGTCTTCTTGTCACGTTTTATGACACAGAGAAAACGGAGCTGTCTTCTTGTCACGTGACATGACACAGAGAAAACTGAGCTGTCTTCTTGTCACGTTTTATGACACAGAGAAAACTGTGCCGTCTTCTTGTCACGTGACAGTGACACTTGTAAAACTGAGCTGTCTTCTTCACTTCATTTCACGGGACAGTGATAGGCTACAGACAAATCTAGCGACATCTGACGGCGCCCCGACTGTAGCGCCGCGTTGACTGTGGCGATCATAACTGACAATAGTCGCAATAACCGCGGGTACGGTACATGTACTGGCCTGTGTGGGCTGACTGACGATAGTCGCAACGACCGTGGGTACAGTACATGTACTGGCCTGTGTGGGCTCACTGAAAAGACTACGGCTATGAGGAAAGGTGGAAGAAAAGAAAGGCAGACTAGAACCTCTAGTATAAACTGTGGAAGAAAATAGGCAGGGGGGG